ATTAACACCTTCAGGTGCAAAATTCTCTGGCATTCCCCATGGATAACCTTGAGGCATACGATTTTGAACAACACCCAGAGTAGCGGATACAGGAATAGTCGGAACTTCAGTACTTTCCCTTGTTGGTTGAGGTTGAACACTCGGTGGATGATTCTGAGCAGCCACCAGAGTTTCCATCAAAGTAGTTAGATTGGCCATGCCGGCCTTCAGATCAGAAACTTATTTGCGCAACTCATGATTCTCCTATTCTAAGTTGTCCATCTTCTTTTTGAAATTAGCCCGAGTGTTGTAGTGATGAGTAGGCTTGCTGAATGAAGTAAAAATCTGGGTAAGACACCTGGTTATGCATTCAAATGCAAGAAATATGTGCAATATGATGCATGATATGCAATGCACATGATTATTTTTACTTTTTTATTTAATATTTCAAGGGATTTAAGATTTATATACATATTGCAAACATCCAAGTAATAAAGCTTTTGAAATACTGAAAATTTTTATTATAATAACTTCAAAATGGATTAAAAGTTTCAATGATACCGAGTACAAGATGAAAATACAATCTAAGATCCTGAGAAAAGGAAATGATGGAGATCAATCTGTACACTGGAGCTTCCCTGTGAGCCTGGAAATCTGAGCCCTCAACCTCTGGTTTTCTTCCACATGTCTGATGGCAACCTCCCTCCAATAATCTGGATCAGAAAGTGAGTAATCAGCACCTGTTTGAGGCTTAGGGGAAAATAAATCCCCTTAACTCTCCATAGACTCCACCGCTCGACTCTCAAGGATCTCGATCAAATCGTATTTCTCCTTCAGGTATGCTCTGTAGGAACTCTCAAAAGTCTGGAACTTGTTCTTCCAAGCATCCCTTTCCTGTTGCATCCTAACCAAAGCGAGTTGCAGTTCTTCTAGATCATCTAATAAGGGAGGGGTGGTCTTCACAAATAGATAAGGCATGGGTGTCTCCCGAGTATATGGCATCTTCAACTGAATGGCTCTCGATCGAACCCACTGAAGATATGGCTCCAAAGAAACAACACCCCTAGGTCCCAAATACTTCCTACTCTTCTTATGAATGTGACTCCAGACCTTCACAATCTGCTCCCTAGCTTCCCTGTGGTCTTCTCCTTCCTTCAGAAAGAAACTACTCAAATGAATACTGTTCGGTTTATCCCTCATCGGATAACCAAGTTGTCACCGTGCAAGAACAGGGTTATAATTAATTCCTCCCTTTGTACCTAGAAGAGGCACATTGGGGAAACTACCACAATTGTCAATAATATCCATATCCTGGTAAGCTCGATGATACCAATCAATATCCGAGTGAGTAAGTGCCATGATCTTAGGAGCCCAACGGGGTTCCTTTTTGACATCCCAAAAAGCATCAGACTGAGGCATATGAGAGATGAACCACCGGTACAACAAAGGCGTGCAACAGATAATCATTCCCCCATGGTAAGAATTCCGAAGATGAACAGAGTAATAAGCATCACCCAACAGTGTAGGAGCTAGGTTTCCAATCATGAAAATCCAAATAGCGTTAATGTCGACAAACTTGTCTACATTAGGAAATAAGAACAATCCGAAAGAAATTAAAGCAAAGATGGCCTCAAAAGCAACTGTACTCTTCATTCTGAAAAAGTAACGAGCTTTCTCCAATAAGAACTGAGCTGGTAATCCTCTAATCCCTCCTTTAGTAGTCATATGGGCTTCCACCTCAGACTTCCCCAAATGAATCAAAGCAGCAATCTCATGTGGTTTTGGCTCACCTTCCAAACTAGTAAAAGGAACACGATCGGTAACAGGTAAATCCAATAGATAAGAATACTCCTCCAGTGTAGGCATCAATTGATAATCGGGAAAAGTAAAGCAGTGATACATCGGATCATAGAACTGGACCAAGGTCGAGAGAATACCCTCCTTCATCTTCAGCTTCATGAGAGAAATAATGGATCCATACTTCTTTCGAAAGTCTGCAGAACACTCGATCTCTGGAATTAGACTGACCAACTCATCTATCTTAGGATCTTTGAAACTGTATTTCCTGGTCTTTTTCTTTCCAGAATTCATGGTTAAAAGTACCTGAGATATTCACAAATTGTCAACCTTTAAATCCCTTGATATATTGTTTTCTTCAAAAGATGCTTATGAGTGCATGGATGCATGATGCAACAATCACACACAAGATCACACATATAGGGTTCATAGGTTCAACTTCACGAGCATGAGGTAGAAGGTACTACCCGTAAGGTATTGGTCTAAAAAGTTATCACCTGCCAAACAAGGTTCTAGAGGTTCCCAGAGTCTACATCCTTCCTTCGGATATTACCAACTTCCCGATTAACTCGGTAATTAGTAATATTCTCAAGAAATACTCGTCCGAGCGTAGTATCGCGTGACAACTATTTCCGGATTACTCTGTCATAGCTTCCACACTACACCTAAAAGGCCAAGATGGGTTTGGTATTCTACGGTCCTCAGCTTCAGCAGGCTCCCAGGTCAAAAGTTGTACGTCTTCCTGATTACTCGATAAACGACACTACAGTCAAAGGGGCCTCCACTGAGTGGGGGATCTCATGCCTCATTTTTTGGGATTACTCCCTCAAAATTAACATGACTATACCGCCCGTCCTATCTTAAAGTTTGCCCAAGTCCGGGTATAGGACTTATGAGTAATCACCAAGCATCCTGAAAACCAGAAAAATCCAAACAAACATATATACAAAATATAACACATAAACAACAATAACAAATATACAGATATAAATAAAGATAGGCTCAACCCACTTAGGGATGGACCAACAAGAGGTCAATCTTTCCCCAGTGAAGTCACCATTTTTCTGTAGCAGTAGAAATGTTCAAGACTAAGGCATTGGATTGACTAGACTTTATACAAATCAAAATAAAAATCACCACCGCACTTTATTGTTTCCAAAGGAATGGGAAAAGAGCGAATAACACAAAAAGAGGGGGAAAGATTCAAGGTAAGGGGGTTGGTTATGCAAAGGGAGGGTATTAGCACCCTAAACATCTACGGTACTCCACAGGAACCTCTTTGTAAAATTTGTATATTTTGGCTATAAAAATGTGTTGTATATAAAATGGATGGTGGAGGTGAGAAAAGAAATATATTTTTATGATTTTTGCACCCGTCGCGGTTGCGAATCTTTAGTGCCTACATACCACCTTTCGTGCAATAGGGGATCAGGGTACACGTAGTTCCTCTTTTAAAAATTTGAAACACAAGTGTGTTGGTTGATTTTAAGAGATAAGACATCATCGTCATTGTCCGTGTGGAAAACATACTTACTACCCACAATCATGAGAAAGGAGAATTTGCATCATCTCAAAGTGGAGGATATAACTTGGATTTTAAAATCAACAATGCCTCACTCAACACCCAAGTGGAAAATATCTCACTTCACTACATATTGTAGAAGTATAGTTGTTTGCATCACTACAAGGATTGACAAGAGTCTAATATTTTGAGAAAAGTTTAAAGATAAAAGCCAAAGTGGCAAAATGATTTGAAATGAGGTTGATTGACTTTTAGTCTTCTCAAAAAAATGTCAAGGTATTATTAAGTTGATTGAAGTTTATTGATGAAAATGTTTTGAAAATGCATGGACCTAAGTACAAGTTTATTATGAAAGTGGTTCAAGTTTAGAAACAAGAAGAGTTTTCAAAAGGAGGGAGAAGATTTTTGAATTTTAAGAAGATGGGAGGAGAAGAAGAGACTATCCTAAAGCATAAGGTAAAAGTTAAGGAGAAGAATCATCTAACCAACAAGAAGCCAATACTTGACATTATGAATCAAGATAGAATTCCCATTATTTAGATTGAAACCAAGCAAAGATACTAGACCTCTTGAGAGAACCAAACATCAAGTGTACTAAGTCTTCACAAAAATTAGGCAGAGTAACGGCTGTATACAGGTGAATTCCAGATTACAAACAGAGAATGTAATCACAAAAACCTGAACACAAAAACAAGTAAGCAACCCAATATCTTGAGGTAAACCTCAAGAACTCCAGACAAAATAATCAGATAAGATCACAAGGTCTCCAAGATAGGCCAAGGTTTCTAATCCTAACACTACAAGAAAATTAGTGTTTAACGACACAAAAATTGCGACAGTTATGTGATAACTGTCGTAATTGACATATAGAGACAGTGTTTACGACAGTTGACACCAACCGTCCCTAATATTTATTTTGTGACGGTATATTTAACCATCATAATATTATTATTACGACGGTAAAACAACCGTCGGCCCCCATTTAACACTTTTAACATTGATTTTTCACCAACAACTAGTCACGACGGTAAAATTAACCGTCCTAAAAGGCATATCACGACGGTAAAGCACCCGTCGCACCCTTAAACCTTTCACAACGATAAAATTATTCGTCCTAAAATTCATTTCACGACGGTAAAACAACCGTCGCACCCAAAACCTTTAAAAATTCTCATGGGCACGAAGGTAAAACACCCGTCGCCGTAAAAAAGTTAAAAAGCTCTTAAAATACATAAAACATCAATTCACTTTCTACTCCGTAAACATTATAAATATCACTAAATAAAGTTTATTACCACCGTGAGCCACCCTAACCAATCATATTTACTAAGATCTAGGAATCCCATCCAAGTGAGGTAACTCACATGGACTTTTATGGAGTTTTTTGATAAGTAGATTTTGATTTTTCTTTTTATATTTTTAAAAGACCAGTGTTTCATTTTTCCCATTTTAAAAAACTTTTTTACCTTGCATTTTATTTGCTAGTATATTCTCTAGAAATCCAAGTTCCAAATCATAAATTGCTATTTTTCACTTATCCCTACCGCAAACAAGGAACCCGAAACCCAAACTCTCATTCCGCCACAGACCACTCTCAACTATCTTCAGTTCCCCTAAAATTTTCAAACCTCTTTCGCTTCCTCATCTCACAACCACCACCAATTTCTCAGTTTCGTCAATTTTCGGTTTTCATACCTTCGAAATGGAGAATCTTAACTTAGCCCTTGTTTCTTCCCCTAAACCTCTGCTTCTGGGACATTCCTCCTCAAAAAACGTCTTCACAAGAAGAAAGCCTTTCGCTTTCGGGACTTTTCGCGTTTCTGCTAACTCTTCATCCTCTCATGTCACCAGGGCTGCTTCTAAATCTCACCAAAATCTAAAATCTGGTAATCTTATGAATATGATTTTTGCTTACCAGAAATAGGGTTATTAGGTTATGATGTACTTGAATGAAATGTATGTAATTATATTGAAATTGAAGTTGAATTGACATAGTTATAATGAAAATTTCCATGCAAATTGAATGTATTTCAATGTTTTGCACTCATGTCTGAAGAGGCATTCATAAGTAATACATGCTCGGAATTCAGTGCAGGGGAAGGTCACTGTGCATACTTTTGCTAGCATTTCTTCTTCAAATAGTCAGGAAACAACATCAGTGAGAAGGCTTATGAGGTAACTCTATCTATCTATCTGTTGATGTGTTTATCTGAATTTCATGTGTTTGATAGTGCGCATTGATGATTGTTATATATCTTCAATGTAACTTCTTTGATTTCCTCAGGATGGAAGAACAATGGTGGAGAGTAAGACAGCAGACCTGAGATCTCAAATCAGGCAAAAAGGTGACACAAACCAAGCTTCAAGTATAAGGAATCCATGGCAGCAATCAGATCAGACACAGTCTCATTCTAATCATGAAACACAACTTAAGCAATCCCGAGACGTAAGGTGCCAACTGTGTAATCATGTATAATGGTTGCAGTCTCGTTAGTTGTTATAGTGTAGGCATATATGATAGAACATCTTATAATGATTTTGGAATTGTTAATACATTTTAACTTAGTAGAATCTGTTCTTAGTCCCTCTCATGTGATGAATTTAAATTTAGTTCACATATGGAACATACATATTCTACTATCCAAGTTCTGTTAAATTCTTATGTAACCAAACAAGCTACATTTTCTTTTGTTTTGATTTCAGGTGGCATTGGCAACAGCAGCAAAAGCAAAATTACTTCTTCGTGAGCTAAAAACCGTTAAAGCGGATTTAGCATTTGCTAAAGCGCGTTGTGCTCAACTTGAAGAAGAAAATAAATTACTCAGGGAACGAGAAGGAAGCGATAAGGGACTTATCCGTGATGATGATGATCTGGTATTAATCAGTTTGTTGTTTACCTATTTGAATTTTCATTTAGAAGCCAAAGAAATTTGAAAGTGCCATGTTATTATGTAATGTAGCATTAACCTCTCTCTTTTGAAGCAACTATGCTACATTATAAGGTAGAAGCATGCATAAAATTAACATCATGTATATGCATAATGCATTATTATTACTACTACATTTTGAACTTGAGGTCTGGTACTAAATTTGTGATCTACTCATATCTGCAGCAAAATGATCACACTTTTTGTTTATAGGGTTATAGTCTTAGATGAGATTCTCTTGTTTTGAGAAATATATGCATGTTTTCTAACATACATTCATTTATTTATTCTACCTGATTGCAATGTGAGGACTGAGGAATTAAGACCATGGGAGTATTTGATACTCAAGTTTTGTGTGTAACTTTCCTGTCACTGTGTCTGTGAGGAGGTTGGTTTGGAAAACTCCTTCATTACAAATATTCGACATTGTATTAACATTTTGAATTCAGTGCAGGGGAAGGTCACTGTGCATACTTTTGCTAGCATTTCTTCTTCGAATGTGTAATCATACTATTCTTTCTTTCACATTTTGAATTTCTTGTAGATGTTTTATACCATGTCATATGATTTCCATTTGTCAAACTACTTGTTTGGAAAGGAGATGATTATATATATATATATATATATATATATATATATATATATATATATATATATATATATATATATATATATATATATATATATATATATATATATATATATATATATATATATTTATTTGATGTTGTTTATCAATTTCGCTTATATATTCTAATTTGGATTTATTTGTTCACAATGTTTGTAGAGGGTCGCCACTCTTTTGGATTGGTGTTGGTGTTGGGTTTTCTGCACTATTTTCAGTGGTGAGAACCATAGTCAAAACTCAGTTTTATATATACTGATGTTTATTTTTCTTCATTTTTATTTATGTTCAATATATTAAGGTCCATTTCTTTTTGGCAGGTAGCTTCAAGATTAAAGGTGAGTTCCACTTTACTGCGTGGCTTGGGTTTAAACTGGTCTGTCATTTGAGTTCTATGGTAAGATATTGGGAGCATATCAAGTCAGATGAATGATTTATTGGCCGAGGGAAAGGAACAAGTCTTTTCACCTTCAAATTTTACACGAAGTTGCAACAAACGTTTTTTGTCAAACCTTATCTTTTGTAGTTTCTTTGTAGAACTGGCAACAACTAACCTTGTAACTCTTTGGTACCCTTTTCATACAATTTTAACATTTGTGTTTTAATCTTTTTTCAGAAATATGCAATGCAACAAGCTTTAAACACCATGATGGGCCAGATGAATACATAAAATAATAATCCATTTGACAGTGGTGCCTTTTCCCCTGGATCTCCCTTCCCCTTTCCCATGCCTTCAGCTTCAGGGCCCGCTACACCTGCTGGCTTTGCTGGTAATCAATCTCAAGCAACTTCTGCAAGAACTGCCTCTCAATCTACTGTCACAGTAGACATACCTTCAACCAAAGTAGAAGCAGCAGCCTCGGCCCCAGACATTAATGTTAAAGAAGAAGTGGAAGTAAAGAATGAACCAAAAAAATCCGGTAACATACAATCTCTGTTCATGATTCCCATTTTTCTTCTTGTTGGATGACATGTAGTACATTTGCAATTTATAAGTAGTGTGATTCCGTGTCCACTATCAGATGTATATGTGGCTCTAAGAATTTAAGTAAAAGCTGTACCCAAATCACTGTTGTCGATTGGTTCATCCTACCATAGGACGCATTACTAGTCTTTCCATGTATACTATCTTGCAGCTTTCTTTTTGTTATAAACTTATAATAGCTTGAGTGAGCCTATGCCGCAGCATTATTTTTAAGCTTTGCTTGCATGCAAGTATCCTCTGACAAACTTGATAGTGCTCCCTAAATAGACATCAGCTGTTTTAGTTTTCTGTTGAATGCGTCACTAACTAATGTCTAATTGTCAGGTGAATGTCTTTGAATTTATGTCTGTATCATTTGGGATTATTCATTAGTGTGTGCATACCTATTATTTTCTCAACCTTGCTTGCATGCTATCATGTTAGTTAATGGCTCTACAGTTTCTTAAGTCACTTGTAATGGAAACATACTGCTTTGAATTATAACAAATTGTGAAGTGTGTCCATATAAATTTGCTGGAATTAAAATTTTCCTGATAAATATTTATTTATTGCAGCTTTTGTAGATGTGTCTCCAGAAGAAACTGTGCAGAAGAATGCTTTTGAAAGATTTAAAGATGTTGATGAATCAAGTTCATTCAAGTAAGCCCGTGCTCTAGCTGAAGTGAGTTTACAATTCTAGTTTTTTCTAAATATGTTTAGTGATTTGTCTTACCCTTAACATGTAATAACAATGGATATTATTGAAGGCTTCTCAAAATGGAGCTCCTTTTAACCAAGGTTTTGGCAATTCACCCGGTTCTCTATCTGCACGTAAGTAAGGAGTCAGTTGAAATTGAAAATATTTACATATCTGCTTTATTGCTGAAACCCTGTGTAGTGTAGTACATCTATTCAAGCGATTTCAAGGAAATATAATGGCACAATGTAGACCGGGCCTGTTAAATAGATGACTGTTCATGTTATTATAGTCGTGCATATTGATTTAATATATCTGTCATCATCGATTTTAAATCCTTAGTTTTGTTCATAGATTGGGTGTTTTATATGATGTAATTTAACAATGCTCTAGTATCACAACCATTGCCTTTCAAATTGGGTGTTTTTATTTAGTTTTGTATTTAGTTTTTCTTTCCATTTTCACTCATTACCAATAACAGGTTATTGCTATGTCTGTCACCGGGGCTTTGAATGCAGTCGTAATATATGAGCATAGAAAGGAAATGCAGTGTTACCTCTATAATAATCATGTAAGAATTTCACTCTATCTTTCACACTAATTAATAAGTTTTTTCAACAAGTTCTTGTAATTAGTTAGATGTAACTGCATAACAAGTTTTTTCCTCTATCTATTTAGCAATTTCACCTCTAACCCATAATAAGATATTAAACTTCTACATTAGTTGGTATAGTTCTAGAGCACTGTATATGTTTTTTTATCTATTGGAGAGTGGTAATAGGTTTCAGTAACTTTCTATAAGATAAGTGGTGTTAGTATTCTAATGTAGTTGAAAATGTAGGTTTCAGTAAAAAGTCAGATGCATAAGATCTTAATCTAGTTCCCTGCCACCATAAATTGATGGGTAATGATTATAACTTAAGAGTTAAATGTTAAACTGTATCACTAGCCTTTTTAAAACAAATGCAACACAAAATAAAATTGTTTCATTTTAATAAAATGTAAATGGTAATAGAATTTTATATGTACTTGTGAAAGAATTTCAGCAAAAAGTAAGGGACAAACACAACATAGGACCTTTTAAATATTTTGGAGTTTGGTATACTACAAAAAGTTGGAAGCTGATTCACGTTCTCAATTTAAAGTTTATTTCTTTTCAAATTTCTTATATTAACTTGGACATACTGTAATGATACTGTTTGTCTTTTCTTTTTTAAATTAGTGTCTAGAAATTTATTTTGACAGTGGGCATGTCAATTACGAATTATATGATTTTGTTCATCTGATATTTCTACACTGATGGATGTTCTCAGTTTGTAATTTTGAAAAGTAATGCTTGTAATTTGCAGGCATATGCTGCTGCCGTACAGTGAATCAAAACTATGCAAATATTCTTTTGATGCTTTTACGTCTCCGTCAGGCTTGTGATCACCCACTTCTTGTTAAAGAATACAATTCTGATCCTGTTGGAAAAGATTCTGTTGAAATGGCAAAAAGGCTTCCAAAAGAGATGCTGATAAATCTGTTTAATAGTTTGGAAACAACTGCCGCTATATGTTTTGTCTGCAATGTAAGTTAATTCTGATTTGATAATTTCATTATTTGTTTCTTTGTTGCAATTATTCCTTCTAAGAGCGTCATCTGATATAGATCATTTTGATCGTATCTTACCAGTCTTTCTCTTCCTATGGTACATGTTTTGTTTATATGTTTAATAAATAACATTAGTAGGAACACTTCTCTATGGTTTGAAATATGATGAAGTTTGTGAATAAATAACATTAGTAGGAACAGTTAATAATTGGGAATATGGCCTCAATACAAAGAACTAGCTTTCTTGTTATTTCCTTTTCTTCTGATACATGATATAGTAGTACATGATAAGCTTGGTAGACTCTGCTGTTAGTAATTGGTTTAATCTATTTAATGACTCAGTTATTTATTTTGCCTTGCCTGTGTTAAATACTTGAGTAGAGGCCAGAGAATAAGCTTGGAGATGATGAAACGTGGGATAGGGCTGAAAGTGCTCTCAAGGAGGCTTTGGATGAGTTTGGCAAGCCATGGCAGGTATATGCTTTTCATGTTTTGAATTCAATTATATGTTTCTTGATACTATTTTTTATATTCTCATACATTCTTTTGTTTTTTGTATATTTGTTTTATTATTTTCAATGTAATGCGTCATTTGTTAACTTCAATTATGTGCTTATAATCCAAATAAAACTCTGCAGTTGAATGAAGGGGATGGTGCATTCTATGGACCAAAGATAGATATCAGTGTATCTGATGCATTGAGTAGGAAATTCCAGTGTGCAACTCTACAGGTTTACACTCTTTGGCTTGACTTGCATTCACATGGTTCAGTTGTTAATTATTTTTACTGATAATTGGATAAATTGGCTCCTTGCAGCTTGACTTCCAGCTTCCTGATCGTTTTAAGTTGGAATTCTCAGCTGAGGATGAAGCCAAAATTGAGAGGCCTGTTATGATACACAGAGCCATTCTAGGATCAGTTGAACGCATGTTTGCCATACTTTTAGAGCACTACAAGGGTAAATGGCCCTTCTGGCTCAGTCCTCGTCAAGCAATTTTGTGCCCTGTTTCTGAGAAATCACAAGCTTAAGCTCTGAAGGTACACATCTCTGTTTCCTAACTTTAGTCTGTCTATATTTATCGAAGTCATATGATAACAGTTAGGATGGGGTGATGATGTGTACAATTGCATCAAATCCTTGAACCAATTTGTTTATTTTGAGTCGCAACAAGCCTTTTTAGATATACTTTTTATGTGGTAGCTTCTTCATGAAGTTTGAGCAATCTTCCTTGAATAGTTCTATTACATAACTTTGTTATTGTTCTAATTCTATTTTATGAGTATTATTTTAAAGATAATTATTTTAATACCTTTTTTTAGGGATTGGAATCACCCGCTGATGGTAGACGTTCATCTGAGTCTAACTACTGTATTGGAGATAATGGAACTTCAGGGGGGACAAATTAGACTTTGCTATGATCGAGATAATTAGATTGTGAACTTTCTCATGTATTTTTGGCATAATGATACTTATTATTATAAAATTAGGAATTGATATATTTTGGGTTTTTTGTACTACTTGACATGATTATGGAACTCGCATTTTACATGATTATGGAACGCACATTTTTTTGGATATTATAATGCTTATTTGATGTTAAATATTTTTTATTGAAATTATTTTTACTATATTACAAAGTGATAGAAAATAAAACAAAAAATAATACTATAAATAAATATATTAAAGAAGAAATAATTTAAAGAAAAAAATAACACAAAAAAAAACTATATTTAAAATTTTTTACATAGATAATAATTTAAATAAAAAATATATATAATAGAAAAATAAAAAAAAATCAAGACATAAACAAAAGTCATGGCGACAGTACCGAACCGTTGTAATCAACAATTTAAAATAATCAACAAAAGTCATGACGGTATCGAACCGTCGCCATAAACAATTTAATCAATTTCAAAAGATATTCACGACAGTATCGAACCGTCGCCATTAATAATTAAAAGAAACTCAAAAGATAGTCACGACGGTATCAACCCGTCGTAAACTTAAACGACAATTTTTGTAACCGTCGCGAAATAGGTTGGGGACACACACTTCTGCGACGGTAAAGCAACCGTCGTGGAAAGCAAATTGCGACGGTTTTAACCGTCGTAATCTACAAAAATACCTGTCGCAATCTGCCAATTTTCTTGTAGTGTAAGTCTAAGAAATAGTCCCATGCTCCATAATGCCAAGGATAGTAACCAAATAGTCCAAGTACCATTAAGATTTTTTTAAGGTTTATGTTGATTATTAAGTATCTTAAGAAAAGAAAAGAAAAAGCTCAAGTGAGCAAAGTAAAAATGACAAGAAAATAAATGCTCAAATGAGCAAAGATGAAAATGGCATGAAATGTAAATGCTAAAAAATAAATCGTACATAAAGCATAAAAAAGAATAAAAGCATGAGATAAAACAAATCA